CCGGGGAAAACGGACCCCATTCGAGGAGCGCGCACTCGAGGTACTCCATCAGCTGCTTCTCGAGTAGGCTTTCGGCATCAAAGCGGCTCGTCCCTCAAACACGCTGGTAATGGGTCAGACTCGCTCGAGTGTCGTGGCTCTTGGAATTCCCTTGTCCTCCCCAGGTTAGGGCTTTCAGACCGAGCCTTCCTCCCCAAACCAACGCTCGGTCCTCCGGCCGCTAACCGCCGCGCCGTGCCCAAACCGCCAACCCGCCCCCGCTCGTACATGACCGCCGATCTCTCCCTTTCCCCCGGGCTTTCTGAGCACACGTATTAATGCAGATTTCATTATGCACGCCGTCGACGCCTAGCCGTGATCCAGCGACTCCCTCCCTCCCCCGTGCCGTCAAGTGTTTACGCGACCAAGATGCCGTCGCTGCCGCTGCAGCTTGAATTATTCGCGTCCCTTTGACGCCACGGAACTATGCGGGGCCCTTCACCGCCGTTGATTAATCGCCGGGCTTTTTAACGCGCCGTTGCCGCTAACGACGCCACTGTTACATTTGAATGCAAATCGTGTAACGTGCTTGTGCGGTGCGCGTAGCCGCGCGCAGAGCTGTTGGCTCTGCCTGATAGACCATCAGTAAAAAAAAATGTTTATTTCTTTGCGATAGACGTGGATGAGCTAAAAAATAAAACTTGTAATAAGAAAGATATTTATATGGATATACTCTCGGGGCTGGAGTTATATCGGTGTGTATTAAGTGAATTGTGTTAAAATTTTTGATTTTATAATCGCGAGGGACAATGCTCAGAGATCGAGATTCGACATTTAATTATGCAGCTTTGGTTCATGCATACATGGTGTGCTTTCAATGAAAGCGATCTCTTTCTAAATTGAGCGAATAACTTTTGTCATCAAATACACAAGCGTCTATTGAACACACGGCATTATAGGGTACACCTAGCATAATGTATCGTGCGTACCGGTTCCAAATGTAATTGGGTTTGCTCTCCCCGCCGGGAGTACTGAATTAATGATCAATAAACATGTTATGCTCTCTTTATTGACTACATGCGGCACGATTATCGTGTGTTACATTTATCCACCTAACATTTGCACCTTCCCGACTATCTCCTAGGCTTCTGAAATTCGGCAAAATGTTGGAGCGCCTGATGAATGTCTTACTAATTAAAGACATCCGTATTTGACACAAAATAGCTAAGAAATCCATACGCAATAAGAGAAAATTCCATTCTCCAAAAATTTCCCGTTTTTTTGTAAGTATATATAAATATAAAAACATAAAATATAAAAAGAAACCCCCAGATTTTAAGCTTGATGTTTTATTCTTTAACTTAACAAACCCTTCTTAAGTTAAGATCGATTCGACAAGCGAAAAAGTACACCGGAGATCTGTCCTTCTTGCAGCTATCAAATTAATTCACATATGCTCTCGCAAAGTCGGTGTTATATATAGAGAAGCGACGTAAGCTAGATGAAGGGGGTGGCAGACCGTGCGATGGAAGATGACTGCCTTTGATTCACGACGCCATTGAAAGCCCGCTCCTCACTGAGGACGCAAGGATATAACGGTCGGCCAGATTATTTGGCGCTTTTCCTGATATCTTGCTAAACAGCAATGCGCTCGTAACCCTTCTCTCAACACAGCGCACTAAATCACGGCGTATCAAATTTTAATAGATATGACGAAAAGAGAAAAAATGCGATTTATACGTATAAGATTGTTTTACCGCGAGCTCTTTCTTTAGAGCGCGATTTGTTGGAAAATCTATGTTCCGCGCATCAAGATGGAAACTATGTATATATATATGTATTCGAATGCCTGTGCACGTCGAAATAAAAATACACTCCTAAAACTCGGAAACTGCATATCTAAATTCCTCATGTCTCGAGGAAGGTGGTATTCAACATTCTTCCATTCACGTATCGCGCCTGATATCACACGCACACAACCGAGAAGAATATATGAGATCGATATTCCCTGAATTTTCTTCGTACATCTTATATATCATGCTTTTGAAACGAATTGGAGAAATAGGTTTTATCTCTAAATAAAGATAGCTTTATCGATGTTCTAAAATACCTCGGAGTCTAAAAAATTATTACTTCGTAATATTATGTTGCTGTCAATAAACAACGTTAGAGAAATGTTTCTCTTGAAAAATATTATCCGATAATGGTTTATGTCGCAATTTCATAAAGATTTATTTTATTATTACTTTTATTTTTATTTATTTTATTTATCATGCTTTTGTAAATAGAAGGGAGCTACTTTTATCAGGATTTCTGCAAATTGAATTCTATATAAAATGCTGTATTATTTGGTTTTAAATAGAATCAATTGCTGAAGCAGTAAATGTAAATAATACTAAATATATAAACAGTGATTGTATTGTCTTCTCGATTAACTGTATATTAATTTCGTTCACGTTAAAGAAACAAAAAGTGGAAATTAAAGATTGTAATTATAAAATGTTAGATAAAATTATTCTTTTTCAACATGTAAAAAAACATGCTATAATTAATGTCTAAAATAAATAAAATAATTAACGTGTTTTAGCACGTAAATGAATAAATGAATTTTAACCGCTTATTCAAAATCGATGTAGAGTAAGCTGTAAATAAGGGCTTTATTACGACTTAGTGGCTCGTTTATTTAACAGTATTTGCGATATTCGAATTAAATTATCATCAATGCTTGTAACTCATTACCGTCTGAGGGGATTTGCGACCAGGAAGTTGGTTATTATTGGCATATTGAATTTTACGTACACCGAGTTTTAATAAATGAGAAATCCGTGTTGGTCGTATCATCGATTCGACATCCTACAAATGCATTTAGACTTCTTGATTATCGATTCTCGATAATTACCCCTGGTTGCGCGGATTCATTAATCTGCCCTTTTTAGTCATTAAGAAAAAAGGATGGAGAAGTATCCTTCGACCTGTATTTACGAGAAGTACTAATCGATATTGCATTTCCGCCGATTCAACCGCGCTCGCGCGCTTTCGGAAGTTTAATTTTTTAGCAGACTTGGTAATACCGCTCGTGTGGAATCCGCCGTTCGGCTGCATCTAGCCGCGAATTTTTCCATTACAATTTATCTTTCAAAGAATATCGCATTGCTTTTACTTTTTACCTATATTTACTTCGTATATCAATTTTTTCACAAAGCAAATTTTTGAAACTTTCAAATGGATCTTCTACCAATCATCTTTGTGACAATTACCAGGAAAAATTGACACAGAATATCAGAATATATCGTTGCGGCCGAAGACAAAAATAGCAACAAAGTCACCATCGATTCCGCTTTTCAGTTTAGGAGTTTATCACATTGACGGCTGATCGCGGCATTATTTTGTGGGTTTAAGAAAATTGGATTGTTCAGGGAGGAAGAGGAATTATGAATTGCTTCTGAGAGAAACAAGTGGGTCACAGTTAATTGGGCCGCCGTGCCGTCATGTCTCGTTTATCGAATGTTTAATTTGTCTCGTTACGATGCCGGCACGTAATTAATTTCAATTAATTATATCGTCATTCCCGGGTCATCCTCCGCTCTCATTTTACGGCAATGATTCTACGTATAGTTCATTCGCGAATAAAATCACGTACGCAATATGTAGAGTTTTACGAGAGTGCCGTGAGCGCCGTGTGCCCGTGCCACAGACGCGGTCACCGACTGCATTGCGGTTATAATTAATTGGCAAACTGCAAATTACATGATAATTCTAATTATTTGTCGCTTTGTAAAGCGATTGCTAGGATAATGGCGTGATTAGAATTTCATAATTGTCTGTACTGCGCGTTTGTGGTCACCGTAACCGAAAATCCCGGGATTGTAAGTATATCGTTTTACTCGTAAAACCGTAGAATAACCTATAATTAATTAATAAGGTGGATAATTGCGGCGAACTTACAAACGTGCAATGTCAATCTTGAAAATTTTTCTGCTTTACCAATTTTGTCACGAAATGTACTTACTTTCTGCATGAAAATCAATGTATTTTTAAAATATCTTTCATGATGTTCTACCTATATTACTTCTTATTAAATGTTGTTGCAAAATAAGAGGTAAAACTTCCAAGAAAGTGCGAACTTTAAGCGATAAAATTTTTAATTTGCGGAAACTCGGAAAATTTACTAAATTGTGAAAAAAATGCACGTTGAGTTTAAGAATCAATTGTTTCAATAGTTAATTCGCCAGAATCGGACATATGTATTAACTTCGATATTGAATTTTTTATTATCACAAAAAATATAACTACCGATTTCAGAATCAGTTGTTACGTGAATCGTTTTGAAGCACAGATTAGCAATTAGTTGCTTCGACGTAACGATTACTTGAAACGCTTTCACGTATCATTTTCAGAATCAATCACTACGTAGCACAGTTCTATTAAGCTTCTCCAAAGAAAAAGAGAATTCATTACGAGTAATATAGATATTGAAAAATGCATCAATTTATAATTTACAATTCGACGTGATATCGGAAATAGATTCTCTCCTTAGAAATGGAAATATATCCGTTAAAAAATGCAAGACACTTTTAAATAGGCATCGCAAATCTGCGATTCAATTATTAACTAGCAATCCGAAAATGGTTTCTCTTTCCCTTTTATTAGCCTTTTTAATCCTTTCCTCATAGAATTAACGAAAGGAATAACCTATGCATTCGGCTTTGTGAAAAATGTAATGAACATTTCTGAGATCGTTATAGAAAGTCATTCAATTTTATGTTTTACGCTAAATTAAAAAATTTAATAAGATTATTTACAAATTAAAACGTATGGTTTTTTCCTGTTAAAATTAATACATTTAATTTTGCGCTTAATTTGCTTTCATTAATATGTAGATTTTATTTACGATTTTATTGAGCATACGATATAACTGATTGTTACTAATTCAAGTAGGTACAATCAGATTTTGTGGTACTATATATGTAGCCGGAATCTGTCACGGTATTTTTTATATTGTATGTACTGGTGCTACTCACTTCAGCGGGGAAAGCATAGTTATTAATACGATGCTCGGAACCATGACCGTCGTCCATTCCATAGTGAATATATATTTCCTCGAACTGGTAGTGATAGGCGAGCGGGCCACCCGTTATATTGACCCGTATCTTCGCCTCCCTGTCTGCTCTAAATACCAGGAATTGCCCAGTATTATGTAAGTGCCCGGAAATCTGAAAGCAAAATTGATTGAAGTTTGTTAGTACCAATAACAATAACAAGCCTGGTGAACAGAATGCAATTAAGTAGATATTCATTCAGACAGCAATCTAATTTCATTAATTAATTGATACTTCAAATGAAAGGAAAGTTCGCTGTGTATCCACAAAATTTGTTCGTATATTCTCTCGAATAATAATAATGACAATAAATGTTTAAACTGTAATAAATATGATCAGGAAAATAAAATCAAAAAGTAATAAAATTTAATTATTTAAAAAAACAATAAGTCGTATATAAATTTAATAAATTAGTCGTTTATAAATTGTAATCACATATCAGATAGTTACATTCGATACAAATTCATCTTTTTATTCATAAACCAGACTTTTGTCGGTAGTAATGTAAAGTATTTTTAACACTAATTCGATGTACTTTAGACGGAGATTCGCAAACAATGAGAGATTCGCATGCCTTATCGTAATGAGCTGCATAAGAGCGCGGTTGCAAAGATGTCTACAAGAAAGGGCGGCAACTCGTCGTCCGAGGGATAATTGATTAGGCATTTAATTGGATGGAATAGCAAAACCAGACACGGTGCCATGTCGCACAGGAGCTCGGCAAAGTGCAAGACGAGGCCGGGGAAGTCCATTTTCTTGTACGTCGCCGAGAACCTGAATTATGGCGTCATCAGTTAGAAATAATGAGGTAACCTCGGGGAGAAGCCAGCCGCGGAAGACACGTCGGCAAAAGTCGTCGGGAGATAACTTATTATTTTGCAATAGATTTTTGGCCCCTCTGACCTCCTTTCTGTGCTCCAAACCTTCTCGTCTTCTGCGCGCACAACGATTCTCTCTCTCTCTCGTTCAACTTACTACATTAATATAGAGAATCTTTCTGAGATGCAATTTCTTATAAATTCAATAAAAGATGAGTTCTACAAAAACTGAAGCCAATATTTCGTTACATGTAAAAATATTTTTTTACAATCTCGCAGTCTCATTTTTTAGAGCAAATAATAAAATAGCAAATCATTTAGATACGAAAAATTACGATAGTTTCATGTCGTAATGCGAAAATTTCAATTTACGCAGTCTTCTCAAAATTTCGTGATTCCACATCGATCGTTACTCTCATTTCGAAGACCCCTCATCGCTGTTTCCTCCCAAATTCATTAAGCCATGGGAGAGCGGCAGCTCTCCTCACGATGACAGAGAGAAATGAACGCGAACAGGCGGCGCGACTTTTCCCCCGACGCGTAGAGGAAAGTCAATGGCGCATAACTCATTATTTCGCGACAGATTTCCACCCCTCCGATCGCCAGGAATAATTCGTCCGCCCCCTTCGTCTTTTTCGTCCGCTCGAGTTCCTTTTTCTCTGGTATCAGCGTCTCCGAAACTTGGATCAATGGAGGCGACTCGGCGCGAGAAACCGGAAGGAAGACTCACAGCGGAACACGATAGTTCCGTGCGATCTCGAATGGGCGCACAAAAGCCGCCCTTCTTTCGGCAAAACTTAAAGTTCGACCGGCGGGGGTGGATCATCTTCCATCCTTACTCCCCGAATCCTGAGCTCTCCCTCTTGCCGGTCGTTCCGCAAAGTCGTCCGCTTCGGTCCGAACAATCGTCATTGCGCATTCTGGCCGGCTGCCGTAGAATCCACTCCCATTTTGTTCCCACAGAAGCTGCAGAATTCACGAGCGATGTTGGGAAATGGGCGGTCGAACGGAGAGAAAGGAGGAGAGACGTCGAGATATAAGAAGCGCGTGGCGCCAAATCTTCTTAAACTTCATCGACTTCGCGGCGCGGCGCGGCGGCAATGTTTCACGATTAATACCGACGACTTCCTTTTTCGGGTAATGGGAATGCCGGTTGGGAGAAGTCGTGAGAATAATCGAGTTTCGCAGGAAGGATTTGGGGATGGGGGAGCGCTTAGTTAAGAGCGCGCCAGACTTCTGATGTAAAGTCTGGTTCTCATGGAGTGTTTACGAGATTGCCGAAACTCGGCAAACCTAAATCCGTTTTCCATACGGACTGCAATTCCGCGATTACGCTCTAGGAATTCGGAAACTATGAAAAATGGATTTAGTTGTATAACACGCGAGCTGGCAGAGCATTATATTACGGCACCGAACCTTCCCACCGCCATCTTTGGACCCCCTGTCCAGACGATGAGAGACCGCAGTAAAAAAAAAAAAAAAAAAAAAGATCTCGATCGGACGAACTAGCAGTTCGTACAACCAGCAGAATCAAGCTCTCACGTGAAACGGGAATCAAGGCAGTCGGAGGATTAGCGAAAACGCCACGAAAGACCTCCAAAAGCCGGTTACGGAGTCCAACATTGCCTGGTAATTAACACGAGTCGAGCGAACGTCGAAATCGTCCCCGCACGCGACTCACGTACGGGGTTCACCCTGTACTCGGAATGCGAGAAGCTTTCTCGCTCGCGTGCCCCTCTCTCGCACAGTTAACCGGCAGTCCGCCCTGTTTATAGGACGGTTACCGTCGTTTCATGCGCCGCGACAGTTTCTTACACCGTTTCCACGATCGAATTTATCGAAACGTGCCGCTTCAATTATGGCGCGCCGGCCACTGAGGCACGTCCGGGAATTGGCAATTCCGGCGCGACGTAAGAGAACGCGCTCGTTACAGCTTCGATTATAGCAAACCCGGGGTATACACATACAATTCGCCAGTTTCGCGAGGGAATTGTTCGTGCGAAGAAACGTACTGTGGTATCGACGGGCCGTTAGCGGCGGCTTTAGTGCGCGCCAGAGATAGAAGTAGCTCGTAAAGGCCCGATGCCGTTCCGAAATCTACTCGATCACTTGTTGCAATAAAATTACGACAGCCCGGGCAAGTGGCGTCGATATACAGAACGGCTCAATCTTTATACAAAATTACAAAATCTTCACAAAATTTCTGGATTATATACTTTCGTTACTTTCTAGATCATACTTAAAAAAATTTATTATAATTAGAATTTATTATACGTAGTTTTAATTTGACATTGCGAGTCGATCAGTTGATCGGGGTACTGTGGTAAAATTTATTATTATCTAATTATAAAATATTTGCCGTTGATAATACATGCTTCAAATAATCATAGGATCTTTTTGTATATTTCATCACGTCAATTCACATAAAAATGTAATAGTCTATGATTTTGAAATAAAATATCGATAATCAATCTCAAAATCCTTTTTACGAGATCACTGCAGCAGAACTGCGCAGCAGATGGAACAATGGCGAGAAGAGTCGGATAGAAATTGAGCAAGGAGAATTAGGTTTCACTGAAAACGTGAGTTTCTATAGCAAAATTATGGTATCTGCCGTATCTACATCTGCTACCGTACTGTGAAACGATCTATAGACGATTTTCGCGGGCGGACTGGCCACACGAACGGACTCTGGGAGAAAGAGAGAGGGAAAGGAAGGGAGAGACGAAACGGATGGAGCAAGCCCCGCTGAGCCAAAGACGTACGTTCGACTCCAAGAGACTCCGGGGCGCGCGGTTCGTTCTATTGTTTAATTTAAGTGCCAAAGTTTTAACCGGGTTAAACGACGTATAAATTCACGAGGTCCCCTCCCCGGGTTTCGCACGACTTCGTCGTACCAACGGGGGTCGGTCGGTCGGTCGGTCGGTCGCTTGGCGTCGGCTATGAAACGGCCCGAGACCGCGTTTAAATAGCGGGACCAGGCGGGACCAGGTGTGACGTCAGTGCGGTTTCCGTCGCACGGAGCCGAGTTTCATCTCGATCCTCCGCGCGCTTCCTCGACAAATCGAGGGTCGGGCTTGAATCTCACTCTCGCGAGAATTAACCTGAAAGATTCGCATATTCTCTTTAGGAAAATATATATGTATATTTCCATTTCTCGCTGTTAATTCAATTCTTTTTCGCCGACCTCTTGATTCCAGCTTGAAATGAAACTTTCAAAAACTTTGCGCCTCGTGGGTTTGCCGCCGCGTGTGATTTCTCGGCGGTTGAACGCCGCTTGTTTTAATGAAAGGGGCGAGGGTCGGCGTAGCGTCGACGCAGTTAACAGCGCGGCAAGAGGCAGGAGGATACTTGAGAGAACTCTCTTTAGCGCTTTCCGTCGCGCGCGCACACGAAGGGAGGAAGCCGCTTGCTGGAGGGTAGGCAAACAATGAAGAGTCCCGTTCGTGGCTCGTTTCAAAGCGCGGTGGAATGCATCCGGTGACGATGTAGTCTCGCACTCGCACAGCTCCTAACAACGCGGCTACTGACGGCGACGTGGAAAAGATTGACTATGCGATGAGGGCGGTAGCGAAAGGAGCAATGGAACCGAGATCCGTTAGGGTGAGAAGAAAACGACGACAACAACGACGAAGAGAGAGGAACGAAGATGACAGGGCAAACGATACCTCGGGAGCGCGTTTAAACCTTTTCACGTGCATTTCCGCGGAAGACACTTTGTGGTCTCCGTCTGCGCTCGGCGAAGTCGAAGAATGCGCACTTTTCTCTTTTCTTCCGTGAACGGGAGGAAACAGGAACAGGAAGCGAAATAGATATCATACCTACGACTTCCGGGGATAGGGTGGGTGGACAAATAGCTGGTTGCACTGAATAACGCGCCGTACGAACGAATAAGCCAAGAACGCTGGTAAAGTCGCCAAGAAATAAGCGAAACGCGTAGAATGATGTGAGAGCGAGGCCAGGGAAATGGGGGAAGTAGAAAAGTTTTCGGGATGAAATTCGTCAGTTCGCAAATATAGCTATTATCAAACTCGTCTTCCGCGAAATTTTATATTAACCCGCGCTCTCTGTCGGTTTACACGCAACGGAATGCTTTATATTTATCATTATATTTTAGGCGACATGATCGAAGCGATATAGAAGATATCAGGCGCATTTTTATCTCACACCGAGATGCAGCAAAACGCGATAAAAGGAATCGACATTGAGAGACACCGACGTCGCAATAATATCTTCGTCGCAAGCCAGTTTTGGTCGCTTGCATCTGGTACAAAAGAGTTATTGTCACGATCGCGCCGTATTTATTGTATCCCTTCGCGGGCAATATCGTCGCGCGAGAATTTTTGGTCAGCGTCTCGCATGGGGAGACGGACGAAATACGGCGGCGGGGGTCTCGTATCCGTCTGCGAAACCCGTATCCAATGCCATATCCGAGAGAAGGCATTGTCACGGTACTCGGGCATTTTTCATGTTCGCTTTTCTGAGGAATAACGCCCGGAGACCGCGATCCATGCCAACGCGGTGCATGTCCCGTGGAAAATGGTGGGAGCATTGAACACGAGAGGAAAGAGGTGACCATATAACGCTTCGATGCCGCGATAGAAATATCTCGGTGCGGGAACGTTACGTAGCACACAGATCGACAGAATTGAACAAAGCGATATGACAAACGAAGGCGACGCAAACTGATAGAGATGGAGGTCATAATGAAAAAATTTACGACAGATTATTGCTATATTACTAATTTTGTAAAAATTATGTCTGCTATTACCGAATTTTTTCACATAAATTATGCGTTTTATGAAGCAAACCATTTGAAAAATAACATGTATCAAAAAAATGGCACGCGGCATTTTTACGTGAATAATAAAGCGTGCTGTTTTAAGCAAGTAACGAGTGTTTCATTTTTCTCTTCCGTCGAGTCTCCACAATCCATTCATGTATACTTTCTACAACTGTTTTTTATTCCCTCTGTAAAATTCGAATTATAGAGTGGTATCTCAAAAAGCAAAAAGATATGAATGAGAATATAAATGGAGATGTAAATCGAGCAACGCGCGCGTTACAAGTTCTTCCATTCTACATCGAAAGTTCATACTTCTATATCGAAAGTTCACAGAGACTTTCCGTTCATGCATTTATAAACGGCTTTCGACCCCTCAATATATTCTTCAATGCGCTCATACTACATGCATGAGTCACTTGTACATGCAGATAGGCGAAAATTCAAAATAACGAATATGGTCGTAAGAAATAGATTGCCCTTAATAAAAATAGCTTGTAATAATAAACGTTTTTCCTTAAACGCGTTATTTTTTTCGTACCGTTTCGTATTTTCCCAAATATTCGTATCCATATGTCTTTATTCCGCTAAAAAAAATTAATAAAAAAAGTTACTATCATCGATTCCAGCCGATTCGAACAGCTTCGAGTAGACGGTATGATGAATAAATGTTTTCTTAATAGAAAATTAACGTTCCCGGAGGCTCTTCGTAGTATCCTCACTGATGGAGCGGAAATCAGCGTTAAATAGGTGGCCTCGTAATTAATGGCTTTATTATCGAATCAACGAACTTGGCCAGTGAAAAATGGATAGCGAGAAAGTGGAGCAGCTCTCGCCGGTGAATTCCAAATCCATTACTATCACGTGACAGCTCTGGGAATACTTTTACGGTAACCAACCTGATTTTATCCTTGCTTTTCGAAAGGTGTTTCGAGGCAAATGAATCATTCCCGACATTCTAATTTTAATTTAGTTTCAGTGTTAATAATGACTAAAATAACTTGATGCAAATTTTTACCGAGTTTATACAATAATTCGATATTAATCACTACATGTGACCTACAGGAACTGTAAAATATAATATCATATTTCTATAATCTGTTTTACACATAAGACATTGTGAAAATATATCATATAATGTAATAATTCTCTCTTCCATTTCGCAAAAGAAGAATTTCGGTAAATATGCAATTTTAGCGTGCATATTGCAATGAAAGCTATATAATTATGTAAAATGAAAATTGCTGTTATATTTAACGTTAAACAGAATCATATATTTATTCAGTGCGCGAATCGAGTTGAATTGTAATTATGAAATTTCATTAACGTGTACGGCATTTATTTTTCTAGCGATACCATTTATATTTCATTTTATTCGAGATAATGTGCACCGGCCTTCAAATAATTAAAATAATTATCATACAGTTATAATTTTATTCTGACTTGCTTTAATTATAAAACGCGGCTCTTTATATATACCGATCTTGCGACCAAAGCAACTTGATTGCAATACGCATAATAGTGCGTAACGGGTAATTACATTTGATAGTCAACATATTTAAACGTATCCGGGGTAAACAATGCATCATGAGTCATAATGAGTGGCCGCGTTTGGAAATCATTAATATCAATGAGAGGTATTTCTCATTATCCGTCCGCCAAACGCAAAAACCCGAGCAATTTAATCATCCCGCCGAGGGACACCCAGTATGTACTCCGCACTTGACTAACGAGCGTCCATCAGACGACTCTTTCGTCTTCATTTGAAGTGGACGTGCACATGGGACGAGACCGAACTTTGGGATTTACTTCTTCGCACCCTTTTCCCCGAGATCATACTCGAACGCGCAATGATATACCTACAGGGCACCCGATGTTGTCGCGTTAAATCTTAATTTGGCGGAAATTGACAAACTACGGTAAATGATGTGGAAATATCTACTGTAAATTTGCTGAAACATCTGCAATTGAAATTGTTATGCGATCATAGGCGCATATAACGTTCTGCATATGCTACTGTGAAATTAGAGTATATTTTAGCGAGATACTAATAATTAATTTGGTACGTTATTAATTAAATATTGATACACTTAAGCATTAGTTAAACAAAATTTACTAAATTTCTAAAATGTAACACATTTTAAGTTGTAACTTTCTCTATTTCTGACTTTATTGCTTAGGACACGCTTGCGTGTCCTAAGAGCCAGCAAGAATTCTATTCGCGAATTAGTTTGCAATTTTGAAGACTAAAAGATTAAATACGTTACCCTGTGTTTGTCGACGTGTACCGGTCTCAAGTGACGATCGAAAAGCAACTTGTCCGGTTCGATGTTGATGGGACTCTGTCGTCTTCCTTTGGTGCAGAGGGACCATTGCGGATTTATCAGGCCCCAGAACGAAGGTCCTGCAAAAACCATATCAATAAAGCAAAATATTGCTATGTAAGTATTGACAAATTAGAAAAAGAACGAAAAGATTTGGAAATTCTAGCAAAGGAAAGAAGGGATCCTATTATACTTAATTCGATACTACTTAATACGATAATTCCAACAAATAAAAAGTTTTTAACAAAACAAAAGAAAGATACGTCGAGAAATATGCTGAGTTATTTTATCCTAAAATTTTGTACTTATATCGTATTTCCAAGCGTCTGAGAAAATACGAGATACGAGAGAAATTCGGTTGCGCGAACTCCCAAGAGATTCTTATTTTCTCTGTTTGAGTATGAATCGTCGTGTCACGTGTCAACCGTTCAGAAATCTGAAATTTTTATAATTTCAACTTTTCCGGCTGGTCGCGCCGACCGGTCCGCTCCTTGTCCGGCCCGCGTCAAGTTTCGCTCGGCAGAAGGGATTTTGAACTCGTTTCGCCAGCTTCGTACGCCAGGGACCGACGCAACCCCCCTTCCGATACTTTCGTCTTAGGGACCGACCGACGTTCGCGTTTTCTGGCACTCCTCTGAGAAATTTAACTTTCTTCACGTCACCCGCGAGGATCGATATCCCGAGAAAGCCCGACTTAACGAACCCACGGTCGCGAATCTCAGCTCGCGAAACGGCACGAACTGCATTATTGTGTATCTGTATTTCGGATAGCATTCAAAGTTTACAGATAAAATCCGCGATGTTATCAAGAACGATTATGCACAAAAATCTTCGTCGATTTCTATTCCCACTCATCTTTACCTATTTGTATCTATCTATATCCGTAGCATCGCAATTTATCATTTCATCTTCTACAATATTAAGAAAAATTGAAAGTCATGCTCTTAATCCAATCTTTTTCGCGATGGATAATAAATAAAACTTTCCTGAAATGTTCTTGTCTTGAACGAAATGTTCAGCTTTCTTTAATAATAATCATTTTCTTTACGACACCACAGTCAACGCGACCCTCATGGGACGATTCATTCGCATCATGTTAAGGGTAAATAGTAAATTATTAATGTGACAACTCACATAAGCGACACATCGGACATGTTAATGCGGGAATCTGACAAGTATGTCAGTAGGCGAGAAACTCACACACATACTTATTCCATGTGAGAGATATCATCATACACATCAGAGTGCCTTACAAATGCAGACTTTCCGCGTTTAATTAACCGCAATTAATTCATTCATAAAAGGAAGATACCACGCGCACATAAATTGTTTGCGTTAAAATGTAGTTAATCAAAATAATTGTGGTGTTGGAGTAAATACGGTGTCATATAATATTCCTCATATTGATAAAATTAATAATCACTGTTTCTATCAATTTTGCAGCAAGTACACAGTATAAATATGCGAAACATTCTAAAATGTTATCAAACTGATCACACAAAGAGCTCATTCGTTTACCTTATTTGTCAGTAGAAAATAAACAAACTCTCTTATCAATTTATCATTATTGTGATTGTCAAACTTATCACGTAGCGTCATAATTTTTGTCGTTTCCCGTACCATCGTGCGTAAAAACAATCGCAGATATTCGCACATTATATGAAAGTCAAAATAAAGCCGAACACTTTAGATTACCCCATGTATGCGCGCAGCGAAACAGGTGTGCGAACGCGAATACGTACCAAACTCATGTATTAAGCCGAGCAGGGTACGAGGGATGACACGTAATGACACCCCGGCACGCGAGCATAATCAAAACTTACGGCCCCGATAAACGTGCGTATCGGTTCAATGGTGAGCAATCCTCTGGACGGGTTCGCGCACGTACGCACACACACACACAACGTGTGTGACACCACGACACGTTGGCACTTTAGTGTCGTAATAACGGTGCAATTAACCCCGTTGTAATTAGCATTTTCGCGCTAGAACGTGCGCACTTTTTTTTTCATCTTTGACCGTCACGTGAGCTCTGTATGCATGACGTGCGTGTGCGATTCACTTTATCGAACGGAACTCATTAATTAAAAGGTCATAAAGCGTCATAACCAGTTTTTCTTTGTCTTGCAATACGAAATGTATAGCTGTTGCTATTATATGCGTTAAAAAATATATATATACACGCACATGTAAATTGATTTTGACGCTTGTTAGAAGAGCATCAAGCGTTTACTTCCGCTTGTGATTTCAATGTAAAATCACTAAACTCTCTCGCACCATAAATCTCAATTGGCTGCGGCGGCGTGAAAAGTGGGTTGATATGACGCAGAGAGATATTATTTTTTGATTTATTTTCTAGACAAGTTGTTACACATTCCCCGGCACGCTCTTTATAACTTTCCTCGCACGTGAAGCGAGAACACGCTTAAAGAGGGTCGCGCGCTTGATTTCTTAACGCAAGGAGACCGCTATTATTCGCAATCCCGCGACACACATTCTACCGCGTTCTCGCTTTTCCTCGCCGCGGAATTTATGTCGGGGGAAACGGCACGCCATCGCGTTAGCCACGCAAGAGTTTATTAAATGACACACGCGACGCATGTATATATAAATGCACGCTTTCGTTTTTCATTTCGGTTGAATCATCGCGCGACACCTTTGCGTTGCGGTACGCTCGATTTCCGCGATCTTCGTCTTCTTCTTCAAATTTTAATGGCCACGATTCCTTCCAGGTTCGACTCGGCCATGATACAATGCGATGATGACAAACAAATCGAAAATGGTAAATCCAAACTCGAGAGAGTATAATTGTGTGTGTACGAAATATGTACCTGTGTGTAAATGTCCGCGGTGTTAGGAACTCGGGTACGTAAATGCGTTATGCCCAAGGAATTACGCGGATCAATTTCCCCCGCGGGACCGCGATCTTCGTCATATTCCTTCGTTATCGTACACCATCATCCATCCACACGCAAACGCATACGGCACGGCCGCGAGATATACCTTATGTGCATCTGCTTATCAGCGTTACACGCGGATTCGCGATTTATCCGATTAAGATCCTCAAACACACGCCCGCCGAGACTATTGCGGGCACGCAACTGCGGAGACGCATGAAGTATTTTGTTGCAATTTAGATTCCATATCGCTCTTTAGATACTAGCGTGCTCGAGGGACATAAAACGCTCATACGCAATCTACGCTCCGTAACAAATACGTGCCGTGAAAAATAAAAATGTTCCGCAAGTCGGTCACGTTTATGATATTCATAGCCGTTTTACGCCACACGGCATCGTAACGTTTTCAGTTCATTAAGTCGTGAAACTTATTAACGAAATATCGTTCCCTTAGCGGAGAGTCGTGTATTATATCTGGCGTCGCGTCGCGATAAACATGCTAGGAGCGGAAATCAAGCGTAAGGCAAACTGTTCTGAAAGTGAATTATTCTGCAAAATACCACTGTGAGATATATTACTATATTAGTTTTATTGTGCGCACTTTGTTCGGCGCGAGATACATTACGCGTGACAGTGAATTATTAGCTCGCGGAAAGCATCGTACGTTGTATGTATGTACCGGACGTGTAATCTACTATTGGATTATAGTTACATGGGCGCCGTTTAAATCGATTCGCACCAGTGGACGATCGGACCTAAACCACATCGGACCGTATTCTATTAAATTAAGCCCATTGTTCTTCGCGGACATAGCTACGTTGTATCGGTCCGAGAACAGACCAATTTAAAGCCACGGGATCCAATTAGGATCGATCACACACATTCAGTCGTTGCGCTAACGGGTCCGGGTAAGTTTATTATTATTATATTAGATTTCACTCACATACATAATGACGAGAGAAGGATATTCGTGTCAATTGATGTTAATACAATTTAAGAATTTAGCTCTGGAGAAGCTCTTGATATAATTATTTTCTTTTTCTGTTATAACTTCGTGATGGATAAGTTCTTGGACTGTAGGGCGGAGAGACAACTGTCACTCCGGTACGTTTCGGATCGATCCCGTTGCGAGTGGTATGATACATTTGATATGTGATAATATATCGACCGTAGTACAGTCCTCTGCACAAATAAGTCAAGAGAAGCAAATATAATGTCTAAATATCTCAATCGAGATTATTTTTATCACTTTTTATGGATTACCCGAACAAATTAAAATTTTTCTTGCACAGCAAAATTTGCATATAATATGCGATAATTTCTCATCAATAATTCACACGAAGGAAAGAAATTTGATTATTGCATTGCCGGTGCGAGGGAGTTACAAGATTTTACTTCACGAGTCCAATTTAATATTCAACCGAAAACGTGCATCTTTATACGCTCAAAGATATATCGCGATAATTCAATAATCGCAAAGATGTAAGATTACGACGTAAGATTACGATGTAAGAAGACGTCGCACCCATGAGATTCGGTCGCTTTTCTGGAAGTACATCCAAATTCGCTAAACCGCAGATACCGCAGCTTCGTTCTCTCGTTGCTAATTCATCGAGTTTTACTTTCGCATAATTGCATAATTATCTCCTCGACCGTTATTAAGAAGCTGCCCGCTAATGTCGGTGCAACGGATAAGGGTGGCCGCACCCGGGGCAAGCACGGGGGAGAGAGATAATGAAATAACGGTGGGCAGATGGAATGATTACTTTCTTATCACCCGAAGGCAGGTAGGCTATTATAGCATTCATCACGTGGAACCTGAGGAAGCGAGCTCGACGACGACGGCGAGGCGGAACTCCAGGTGGCGGAGAGAAGATGAAGGGGGTACGAACAGACACAGACATCCCCTGGCCCTCGGTATATAACCGGGGCTACGAAGGAGGTCCTGGCGGGGGTGTAACAACCCCATTATTGAAACTTCAAGCGCGGAGCAATCATTCTGCAATTAGCAAAAGTGATTAAGTGTGGAAGCCAAGGTAGCCTGGTCCTCCCCTCTCTTCTTGCCTCAGCCGCATTCACCCCTTCGATCCTCGAGCTCGGGCAACCAGGAGCGTCGTCGTGCCGGATCCTCGCTTAAGCGGTATTTTCCGACCCTTCAGCACGTGCTTGCCCCCTTCCCCCCT